GAAGACGACTTCGCGACGCTCTCCCAGCCGGACCCGCAGTCCACCGCGTTGGAGCAGGAAGAGCACCAAGCGAGGAAGCAAGCCGAACAACAACAACAACAAGAAGAAGAAGAAGAGGCCGAAAGGCAAAGGCAACAGGACGAAGAGAGGAAGCGACAGCAACAACAAGAAGAGGAAGCGGAAGCCGCACGGGTGGCCGCGGAAGAAGAGCGCAGGAGACTCGAGCAAGAGGAGGAAGAGGAAAAAAGGGCTGCCGAGGAAGCGGCGGCCGAAGAAGAGGCCCGGAGTAGACAACGTGAAGTCGAAGCCGCAGCGGCAGAAGAAGTGAAGAGGCTCGCCGCCGAGGAGCAAGCGGTACAAGAGCGAAGAAGACTTCAGGGGGAGGAAGAGCGTAGGCGGTTGGATGAAGAGAGGAGGCAGCGCGAAGCTGAGGCAGCGGCGGCTGAAGAAGCCGCGGCGCGTGAGCAGGAACGCCTTGCGCGAGAGGAAGCGGAGAGGAGGGAGGCCGAGCAAGCGGAACGGCAAAGGCAACAGGAGGAGAAGCAGCGACGAGAACAAGAACAGGAAGAGGAAAGGCGAAGGCGCGAACGAGAACAAGAGGAGCAGGAAGCGCAAGAAGCGGCGAGACGCGAAGAGGAAGAAAGGGAGCGTCAGCTGGCGGCGGCTGCGGCTGCCGAGGAAGAGCATAGGAAGCGAGCCGAAGAGGAGGAGAAGGCCAGAGCGGCTGCTGAGGAAGCGGCTGCGGCAGAGGAGACGAAGAGGCTCGCCGCCGAGGAGCAGCAAGCGCGCGAGTCCAGCGAGAGGCGCGCCGCCAAGAAGCGCAAGCAGACCGATCACGCCGCGCCGCGCGCCGGCACCATCGAGGATATGGACGTCGAAGCCGAGGCCCAGCAGTTTTCGCAGGAGCAAGGTCGTATCGTCTCTGACGGCGTCGCAGAGCGAAGCGCGGAGGAGGTGCGAGCGGAGGCCTACCTCCAAGTCCAGGCGCAGAACCACGCCGACGAAGAAGGAAGCGCCTTCGCGGATCTGTTCAAGAAGGCCGAAGCGAAGATGGACGCCATTCTCCGCGAGAAGGACGATCTGAGCCGCGGCCTCGACGAGACGCGCGAGAAGGAGCGCAAGATCGCGCAGCTGCTGGGCGACCTGAGCGCCAGCCTGGCCGCCCGCGAGCAGGAGGTCAAGCAGTGGCAGGCCCACGTCGACACGCTCAAGAGCGAGATCAAGCGCACCGACGAGCAGTACCGCCAGCTGCTCGCCGAGGAGAAGCGCAAGCTCGAGCAGCAGTACTCGCAAACGACCACAGGCCTGGGCGCGGATGCGTCGGGCACGGCGAGGCGGGAAGCCGAAGAGGCCCTCGCGGCTCTGCGCAGCCAGGTATCGCGCATCGAGGCCGAGAAGCAGGCCTACGAGGACGAGTGCCGCAAGCTGCGTGCTGAACTCCAGGTCTGGCAGGAGAAGAGCGACGCGCAGCTGGCGGCGGTCGCCAAGCTCGAGGCCGAGCTCGGCGTACAGAAGGAGGCGCTGCGTCAGAGCCAAAAGAACACCGACGACGAGCTCGAGGCGCTGCAGGGCCAGTTCGAAGAGATCCTCCAGGCGGGTGAGGCCCGGCTCAAGGGCATCGAGGAGGAGAGGGACGAGCTGCTGCGCAAGATGAGCGGCGCCGAGGAGGAGCTCGCCCGGCTCAAGGAGCGCATGTCGCAGCAGGGCACCGCGCGGGACAGAGAGCGCGAGAGCCAGATCGCGGCCCTCCAGACCGAGGTCGAGTCCCTGCGGCAGCAGAACGCCAGCCTCTGCAAGGACATCGAGCGCCTGCAGGCCGAAGGCGCCGCGTGGCGCGCGCAGGCCGACGAGGAGAAGCGATCCAAGGAGAGGGAGTGGGAGGAGTTCATCCAGCAGATGGAGAGCACCATCAAGGAGAAGGAGAGCCTCAGCAAGGAGCTCGACGCCGCCAAGGAGGAGGCCACCAAGATGCAGGCCATCATCGACGAGGCGCGCAGTGCACAGGCCACGCAGCACGGCGACCGCGAGCAGGAACTGCGCAGGTATCAGGAGGAGAAGGCCAGCATCGCGGTCGAGCTCGCCGCCGAGCAGCAGAACGTCGAGAAGTGGAAGGCCGAAAGCGAGAAGCTCGCGCGCAAGGCCGAGGGCAGACATGCCGAGGTGGTCGAGCTCAAGGCCAAGCTCAGCGACGAGGAGGAGCGACTCTCGGGTCTCAAGAACCGCTTCCACGCCGTCGAGGGCGAGCTCATCCGCGTTATCGCCGAGAAGGACGAGGCCGTGGCTCGCGCGCAGGCTGCTGAAGGCGAGCTCGTCCAGCTGCAGGCCAGCAGCGAGGCCGCCGCTGCCGAGCGCACCCAAGCCTGCCAGCAAAACGAAGCGCTGCAGATGCAGGTCGACGAGCTTCGCCGCACCGTCGCCTTCCTCAAGGAGAAGGAGCAGGAGGCCAGCGACAGCGACAACCTGGCCACTGCCAACGAACTCGAGCGCCTGCGTCGGCTCATCGACGAGAAGGAGCAGGACCTGGCCGACCGGCAGGTGAGCCTCGACTCGCTGCAGAGCCGGTGCGAGGGCCTCCAGCGCAAGCTCGACGAGGAATCCGAAGCATCTGCGCAGCTGAAGACCGACGCCGGCGCGTTGGAGAAGCGTGCCGGCGAGCTCGAGGCCGCAGCCCAGGAGGCAGAGAGCGAAGTCGCCGCGCTGCGCGAAGTCGCCGAGCGCCTCCAGGCCGAGGTCGGCCAGATCGAACCGCTGCAGCGCACCAAGGCCGAGCTCGAGGAGGAGCGGGACGGACTCGCCGAGAAGCTCGAGTCGGCCAACGCGGAGGCGGCCCGGAACGCGGCCGAGCTGGCCACGGCGCAGGAGACCTGGGAGACCCAGCGAAGCAAGCTCCAGGCCCAGCTCGACATGGCGACGACCGCGCTCGCCGAGCGCGAGGCCGGGTTGGCCGAGAAGGACCAACGCCTGCGCGAGGTCGAGGAGGCCCTGGCCGAGAAGGAGGCCGAGGTCGAGCGCCAGCGCAAAGAGCACGAGCAGATCCGAAAGAAGCTCGCCGCTGAGTCCGATACTGCGGTGGCGGCGTTGAAGAAGGAACTCAAGAAGGAGCAGACGCTGCGGGCCAAGCTCGAGGCCAACGCCGCCGCTGCTGCGGCTGCGGAGGAAGAGAAGAAGGCGAGCGAAGCCGCGGCCAAGCAGCAACCCGAAGAGGAAGACGCGGAGGAGGAGGAGACGCCCTCGCAGAAGGCCCGCGGCGGAAGAAAGAAGCGCGGCGCAGCCGCTGATCCCGAGCCGGAGGCCAAGAAGACGAAGAAGAGGGGCGCGGTCGTCGTGGTCGAGGAGGGAGCAGCAGCAGCAACAGGAGGAAGAGCCCGAACAGACCAGCCGGGCCTCCGCGTCCCAAGAGGCCAAGAAGGGCTCGCAAGAGACCAAGGTATTACCCCGGTTTGCTTTATTTCAAATTGTGACACTTCAAACTTACAACTTCTGTTTCGCTCGATGCTGGAACAGAGATTGGCCAAGAAGCGAAAGAAGGAGCAGGACGCCGAAGCTGCGGCGAAGGAACAGGCCGAGAAGGAGGCGCAGCAGGAGGCCGCTGTCCAACAGGCAGCCGCGTCGCCTGCCCCGCGAACCAAGCCGCCCTCCAAGCTCATGAGCTTGCGAAGCGCCAAGGCCAAGAGCAAAGGTATGTCGGCGGCTTTGCTGGCATCGCCCCTCTT